TTGAAATAAACGCGTAAGTAGAATAAAGATTCTTTACACACTTATGTTGCATGTTCAATCATAATCTATTTCTCCCTAGCACCAGAAGTAAATGCTCTGAAATTTCTATCAGCAGTAGAGGCTCTTGTGATTTATTGTCGTCATAAATTTTTTTCATTTCCGATGAAGCACTACAAAGTTATAGTCAAAATATTATCCGTTATGAGATTTTAAAAAATGGGAATTTTTTTAATGGCTTGCCGTACAAACAAACTTGTTTATTTTTCATCCGATTTTAATCAAAATTTAAGAGAATATTAGTCTTGATTAGAGTAGATCATGGTGAAAATATCTTCCCAAATCTGCAAGACATTCAGAAGTTATAGAGTCAATTCATTGGTCAAAAATACCCTTCACGCGAGCAGGTTTTTCAATATGAGCATACGAGCTGAGCATGGCGGTGTTAGTCTGTATCGACTAACTTCTTATTGCCTTTATTATGTTCTGTATGTGTCCATATAAACAAAAAGCACAACACAAAGGATGAAAAAAAAGAAAACACAACGAGACAGAGATCGAGGAGAACAGAGAAAGGAAAGTGACGCAACAAATGTGGAGTTACTACCTAACACCTCCATCCTTTATCAGTAAACCGTTTTATCTGTTCACGAAGATAGATATCAAATAACTAAACAGCAAGTGTACAAAATGTAAGATCGTTTTATCCTGAAAGTTATTATTTACATTTTTTTATAGATTATATAATTGTAGGATTTACCTAAAATTAAATGGAATAAAAAAAAATATTGGTTTTTCTTCAAGTGATACAAGTGTACATTATATAAAGTCATCCTATAATTAAAATTATCATTTCTATTCTTCTATTTTAGATTATTTAATTAAAGTATTTTTTTCAAGTTAAATGTAGCAATAAAATTGTTTGACTTCGTTCAAATGGTTGAGGAGAACATTATAGAAGGTATCTATATTCTTAAAGTTATGAGTTTTCTTGTTTTTTTGATTCTTTAATTAAAATATTTGTCTGAAGCTAAGTTAACGATTATTAATGTTTATTATTGTTAAATTCGTTCACGTAAATATTATAGAGGATGATTCTATCACTAACATTATGATTTTTATTATTCTATTGTAGATTACTTAATCAAAATATTTACTTTCAGTCACATCTAACACTCAAAATGTCTTCTTTCTTCTTGAACTGGCTGAAGTGAACATAATATAAGGTGATTCTACGGCTGAAATCGTCATTTTTTTGTTTCTATTTTAGATTATTGAATTGTGATATCTATGTATAGCTAAAGTTAACATTACAAATGCTTTTGTTCGTTCAAGTGTATGAAATGAACATTATATAAGGTATTTACATCACTAAAATTAACATTTCTATTTTTCTACTGTAGATTATTGAATTGAAATATTTCTGTCAATGTGAATATCGCAACTGACTCTATTTTATTTTAGATTATTGGGAAGAACACTCTGGTTATAGTAAAGCTTTACTAGTGGCTGGGGATCGTGGTGGATTTCTTGAAATATGGGTATTCGTAGATTTATGTATATCTGAACAAGCGAGCTTCTTCGACTTAATATATTTCAGTTAGGCCTTCAGTCTCTTAGTTGGCTATGTCGAAACTGAATTTGTGAACGCGATGTCTAGCGGATGGAAGGAACATGCGCAATTTTTACTCTATGGTAATGCAAGAGATTTCAGCGGAATTACATTGAATATCGGACAGTATGAAAAGATTTCTGATGACACCCATAACTATAGTCTCATAGCTTTAGGAAGCAGTGCCTAAGAAATGTATGCTATGAAACCTTTGCTGCGAATCTCGTTTTTAGTTTTCTGAAATTAATTTCATACCGAATCAGTTTTATACGAAACTTAAAAAGGTTTAGAATTCGTTACAAAATTCGAAACCTTTTTAACCCTAGTACGCCTGTGCTTTTTTACGCACTACAGTAGCAGTATATGCTTCTATAAAATTATTTTCTCTATTCTAAGGCCACTATCCTGACAAAAGGATACTAGTGTTATATCCAATCTGATAGAAAACAATCTTGAGAGTATATTAGTCCTTTATTTCGAACAATTAATACAAAAAATCTGCTTTATACTATGTTCGTTACAAACAAATGCAGAACATTTATAACATTTAGTTGAAGTTTTTCTGTCTTTAGATGTTTCACACATTGAACACCGTTTTCGTTTTCCTTGTGCAGAATCTTCATTTGATTCTTCCGAATTTCTTCTCGTTATAGGATGACCAACAATAGCTAAAGCATTTTGAATATCTTTATGTAGACGTTTTGAGTTTTTTGAACGAAAATCCAACAGAGGTGTTACTAGACTAAGCCCAAGTTCTTCTAAAAATAATCGCCGTTGATATCTCTTATTTCGATTCCATTCTGGATTTTTCGCTTTCCATAAAATAAAAGCATTTAGAGCCGCGATATCTATCATACCGTAGAAAATACAAAGTGACCACCGCTTTGTACCTCTTTTTACCTATAAATGACAAAATGAAAAGATAAAAAATAAAAAATTTTTTACTGTATATTTGTGGCACATTTGATCAACAGTATCAACAGCTCCCTTGGTTTTATTATAATCCAAAATAATAACTGGTTTTCCAGTCTTATTGTCCACTTGATTATCATGATGTTTCGAAGAAAGTAATAAGACAGCTTTATTATTTTTTGGTACAAAGGAAACTAAAGTTAAATTATCTTCAAAACCAAAAAGTGAAGAACCAACTTCACGAGTTTTATTTGATAGAAATTCTATAGGTATTTCTGGTTTATTTTTTCGTAATGTTCCTATAAGAGTAAGATTCTTCGTTTGAAGATTTTTCGCCAATGGAACACTTGTAAAGAAATTATCCATGGTAACGTTTCTGTTTGAACCATAGAATGGCTTGAGCAATTCTAAAACTACACTTTCCCCTATGTGTTTTTGTTTTTCTTAACATGGTTGTCGTCCAATGTAAGGAAAAGCATTCAATACACAATACGACTCTGCATCAACACATAGCCAGAACTTTAATCCGTATTTGTCAGGCTTCTTAGCAATAAATTGACGAAATGGACATTTTCCCCGAAAACCTAATAATTGTTCGTCGATTGTAAGATCAAGTCCTGGTGTATAACATGTTTTTAATTTATCTTGAAAATCTGACCAAATTTCACGAATTGCCGTAAATTTATCTGCTTGTTTTCTCTCTTCTCATGTTCTTTTATCATCAAATCTTAGACACGAAATAATTTTGTCAAAACGATCTCTTGAAATAGTAGCTTTAAATATTGGAGATTCCGAGGGACTTGTTCTCTATAAGGATCGCAAATTTCCCTTTGATCTTCCTAATAAACCAGCAGGCAATAATATTCCAATTGAAGCTTTTAATTCCATCATTGTTATTTCTTCCTTTTCATCTAATCCGACGCTTCGATCATATTCCATATTTGAATAAATTAAAATTTTCTCCATGATTTTTTCCGACATAAGACAAATGAATGCGTCTTCAATAGATGCAACATTTTCAGTAAGCTTAGTCGGTCCAGATTTCTCGATATTATCACTGAAAGAATTTATTTTTGTTGAAGTAGACGGAATTGAAGACCAGATCATCCCGGACTTGGAAGTATATGAGCTTTTTCGTGTAGAACCTTCGGTTAATTTAAGATCTTCTAAATCAATTTCATCATCAGCGTCTGATGCTTGACTTTCATCATTTTCTGTTTCTGGACCACTTTGTTCGTCGGTAAAATCGTCAACTTCGCTATCCTCTTCGATCCAATTGTTCATGATCGTTTTTTATAATATAAAAAGAAATCTTAATCTATAAAATAAAACAAAATGAAATGGTACTAGATGATAGATGAATATCTTCGATCCAAAAGTTAATCGTATGAATCATACATCATCCTAACTGGATAATTCAAACCCCAATCAATAAATACTTTTAAGTAAGATGGAGATAAATATACAGTT